CTTAATTCAACAGCATAATTCAATCATTGAAAACCGCAAAAAATATATTTTAAAAGCATTTCACCAGTTAAGATGCGATAAAAAAGTGTTTTAAGTATTTATTAAAGCAACCTTGTGCTTTGATTCGCGTCATCAAATGATTCAACAGAGGCGCATTGCGAGTCACTTTAGAGATAAGGATAGGAAAAGGTATAGATTAGTGAGGGGTATTAGGAATTAAAGTTGGCAGGGGGATTAGTTAGACTAGCTCAGTTATATGGTCCCTCGGGGACCCATGGCCCGCGGGGTGATGCGGGACAGAGAGGGGAATGTTGTCGGGCACTGGGGAGGGGCGCGGTACTTATGCATACTAAATGGGGCCCATATTGTATCAAGTTGACAGTTCTCTCACACACGACATATTTCACCACAATAAGGCTTCTTAGTCTCAATCAATCCAATTCCCAAATTTATTCAGCCAACAACAAATACACAAATTAAGTCACCATAAAAGAAGCCTTTGTTACTCCTGCAGGTTTACAAATTTTATGGCAAACGCGAATGAGAACTGACCTGACCTGGCACTCTATTTGAATGAAAATAGCAATTTTAGTTAACAAGCACATTAATCATGCTCAAACAGATAATGCACACTTAAGGCATAAACAGAGAAAGACAAGTCAGCCCATTATTAATATGGCGAAAAGTGTAATTAGTGCAGCTGATAACCTTGCAGAAGTATCTACGCTTACGCGATGGCTACCGAAATAATGAAATAGAATATTACTCAGCAGCAAAACTAATATTGCAAATCGACCCTTTGAGCCGGAAATTAGATGCCAGATGCGCTCAATAAATGCCTCTCTAGACAAAAAACAGTCGAGTTTAAATTTTTTTAAACTTTGCAATATTTCAAACAATTCGAAATGTTATCGCCTTGAATCGATTTAAACTGAAATTGCTCAAAATTGTCAAAAAAAACGAACTATCACAAACCCGTCTGGCAGCCGAAAAAAATTTGGTTTGTATAAAAACCAAAAACCTAAACATTTATAGTTACGTGCTCAAAACCGAACTTAAAAAGCTTTAAAAACTAATGAAAAGCTTATCGAAAAAAAAACATAGTAAGCCGACGCAAAACCAAAGACAAAATCAAACCGGCCGACAAAAGAAAGTATCTGAAGTTTGCAACTTGAATAACACTCAAGGGTAAACCATCCTTTGAAAAAAGCTATTTTCAGGAAAAAAGTCTAGTCCCAGCTGCAATACCCGCGCTTAACTGATGGGAAAAATGAATGTTTAGTTGCATGAAAATACAAGGTAAACAAAGAAAGCCAGTTGCTGTCCAAGTAGCACAATGTTCCGACCACATTCATAAAAAACTGAAGAAGTTTTTTTTCTTTTTTGACAATTAGTTCTTCTTGTGCGTGGTCTGAGGAAAAAGCTATCATTAAATTAACTATCGAGAAAACAACGCGTAGCAAGTTAATAAATTACGCAAAATCGACATCAGTTGTCTTCAAAAAAGAAGAGAAAACAAAAAAAATGGAAACTATTTCGAATTTTTTCATTTTATTGCACAAAATTTTTTACATTTTTTAGAAAAAATTGAAGTGCCAATCAAGATAATGCCAAGCGCTAAATAAAGCTTCTAAAACTAGTTTTCTTTTTCAGTAAACAATACAAAGTTCCTACCCATCTTTATGGACGGAACAAAAAACTAAAAACGAAATGGACTTGATCTATATATTAAGAAATCTTAAAAACATAGCCAACAGACAATTGGAAACAGACAATTTCCGACAGAAATAAAGACAGCTTTTTGAATTTCCAGAAAAATTTTGATTGACTGTTGGCTATTTCTCAAAATATAATTTCAGTTTTCTCAAATTTTGAATTTTGAAGAAAAAAAAAGAGATGGCCTTTTTGAAGCTTTTTGAATTTGTGGAACAATTTATGATGGACACTTTTTTGATAAAATTAACCCAATTTGAGAAAACTGGATCGATAGGTGATTTTTTAATTCCGCTGGGAAATCTGAAAACTAAAATCCACTATCGAAACTAGAGGTCGATCACCTTTTTAGTGAACTACACACATTTGCTGTTCGATATTGGAGTTTATCTTTTATTTAACAAAGGAAACGAAGTGAGCTTAAAATTCGGAAAAATCAAATGAGTGCGAACAAATTTTACACAGAGGGGAAGCTGCGCTTCGCAAACACAAGCGAGAACACAATAAAAAGCAGCACTCTAAAGTGCAATAATAAGAGAAAGTAAAATATACCTTGACTCAAAAAAAAATCGGCAACGACTCGGATTCGATCTACAAAAACTAGCCGCAAATAAAGCAGGAAACAGATGCTATGAAGTTTCCAATGCTACAGATCGTGCTTACAGCAAAAGTGTCACCAAATAAATGAACACTTCTGCTTACAAGTTAGGTTAGAAAAAAGTTCGTTATAATACACTACGTTGCTGGCTAGTGTAAAGAGGGGAGCGGTGTTGAAGTGGTTACGTCTCCGCATCTTAACCGAAAGATCTGATGTTCGAGACCCACCATGATCAGTGCTCTCGTTGCTTGAAGGTGAGGTAACATTTCACAGCCAGGAAAAATAATCTAAAAAATTAGCATGTCGTTCTTAACTATTAGCACAACAGTGAACACTTCTACTGAACATTTTTATTTGAGAATTAGGTTGCAAACAAAGAAGGTTCGTTCTAATACACTAACGCTCGCAAGCGCGCTAATATAACGGCTTTTTCGTGAAAAAAAAACAATCAAGACCTATATAAGAGTATTCACTACGTTCTCTTAAAAAAAACCGTGAGTGAAGAAAAACAATGTGAGGCTCTTTTTCCTCCCCCCCCCCCCACCTGCAAATTTTTTTAATTAAAATTTTTGTTCACATTGGCCGATTGTCATGAAAATTGATATGCAGACTGATTATACCATGGCAAATATATTTGGTCTTCATAATTAACCTCGTAAAACCACTCGTTAGACCATAAAATGGATGGTCGTGTGAGGTGGGGGAAAAAGGAAAAAGAGCCCAATGTGATAACAACTTTATCTCATGTAGGGCAAAATATAATTTCAAGGACGGAAGAATTCGTCACTAGCACCCCCCCCCCCCCCCCCCATCTATATATTTATTAGGATGTCGATTAAATATGAAAAATTTCGACCAGTGGAGAAGTTGTAGTTCGCGAACACAAAACACAAACGAACCTTACATCGGTCAGGCTGCATTATACTTCAGCAATCTCAGCAGGCTAAAAAATTATGAAAGCTTTTCTCCAATATCGCGAGGAGCACCAGATCGTCTGATTTTGAAATGAAAAAGGCTTTCAACTCATTCAACCTTGTTTCACCTTGCGCGCTTTGAAATTTGCGGGGGTATTTTGTTTCGCTGTTTCAGAAATAACGGTCACTAAAATGATGCTCCAATTTAGTTCCGACTAATTTTAGTATCATTATCAAACTTCTTTTAATCAAAATTGGCAGCCGATTGATAAGGTGACATTTAGAAAACGGAACCGAATGTTAACTTCCATATTCTATTTCCTGATTATCAACATCAACCTCTTTCGAAATGTTTTTTATCTGGTGTGATTATAGCACGGAACTAAGTGAAGATTCGAAATCAGTTTTTAATTCTACATACATTTTCTCACTTATATTTTCACCAGGCACCTTACAAATCCATTTCCCAATTTCGCGATCCAATTTAAAATTTTTGACATACTGCTCCATCAGTCGATACTCAATTCAATCAGGATATATTATTCACCAGCACAGCATCAACAAATAAACACCCATTACGCTTTTTAAGCATCCTCTATACCAAGTCTGAATGTCAATTAACAGTCGAGTAATTCTAAGTGAATTGATTCAATCTTTTCATTCCCATTTTTCTTCTTTTCTTAAACCCCCTCTGCTCCCTTCAAACTACAAAGTGTGTTTGCACGTGCATCATTGGACAGGGAAACAACACAGGGGGTACCCGTCTCGGTCAGGTTGATACTGATAATAAAGGGGGATTAAATTCCACTTCCCCTCTCTTTCCCTTCCTCCTTTCCCCTCTCTCAATTAAGTTTGACTTGGGGGAAACCTGCGTGTTACTCACTAGTATAGACTTGTTCACGCTCCGTTGCGCAATCGCAGCTGCCGCTTCCACAAACAACAACTTACTACACATCAACTGCCCTGTTTTTACAACTGGGTCTAATCGAACTTCAAATATAGTCTAATTTATACTTTTATTATCTTTTATTGCATTTCTCCTGTTTTCTCAGCACTGCAATCGCATTTATCTGTTCGATAAATCAATATTCTAACCTAGCCTCAATTTTTTCACTGATAAAAAGTATAAGACTAACTGTTTTATTGACGGGAAATGCTAATAAAAGTTAGAGAAAAATAATGAGACAATTTTAACAAATGAAAAAAAAATTCCCAAAAAATCGCGATGCGGCATACGATAATCACGCTTGAAGATAAAACTAATCGCTAAAATTTTGCAATTTCTCAGAAGCGCCTAGTTGAAGTTAAGGGGTAGGAAAAACTCTCAGGTAAAAAAAAATAATTGAGGGCTGTCTTTGATTTTCAAAATTGATTATAACCAAGTTGAATGGCAATTTTTCTACTCAAAATAGCTCAAAAAGATTGCAGATTGTTTGAAACTTCAGATTGTTTTTCATCATTAAAATGTAATCATTAAAAACGCGTTCACTTGAAGTACTTTTCACGTGCAAAGTATGCACATTTCAAAATTAATCCCTGTGTCGAGCAAAAATTGACCCCTTCCACACAAGGATATTCGGTCAGATAATCAATGCAAGATTACATTTTCCATTCAGATTGGCATCAAATTCCTCTAATTAGCATAAAATTGCAAAAACTCGCCGCTTTGAAGCAATAAATCACTCGCTTCTATTTTGATTTTGACATGTAGAGAACCCGAGGAAGACGTGAAATTAGGAAAACATTTGAATAATTTGAATTGGTAAGAGATTAACCTTTAAGCATGTGTGATATCTGAACAATATCGGTAACTGTAGTACTGTGGTTGAATTGAAGCACAGCTCCGTGTACAGGCAATGAGGTGTCGACAACATAGGTAGTTCCGTTGGCTGACTTTCCAATTGGGGTGGTGTTGCTGTTGTTATTGTTTATATTAGTGTTGTTTGTAGATTGGATCTCCTGCTGCATGAGGAGAGCCTTCAGCTGGTCTGCCCTGCCCAAACTCCTCTCACCCAGGATAAAACACTTATCCCCCACTTGATCGTATAACTTCAGCCATGCTTCCCGGTCCTGAAATGAAAATAAACAAACTAGGATCCAATTGATCTTCTGACTAAAAACAACTCAAAAAGCAGAACAACTCTTGAACATGGTATTTCGTATGCCTTGAAAACGCTTAATCCAAAACTTCTTTCGACCAAAACAGTAGTGTTTCAATAAGCAATCATGTTGCATGAACTTAAGACAAAAACGTTCAAATAATGCCTGCTATCGCATTCAGAGATTACTATCTCCTAGTTCACTTTTCGCGGAAATACTCCAATTAATCAGTTTGATCTATTTGATATCGACCGGTTCATTTGGTCTCAAATCCTTTAATTCAAACCACTGGCAGATTATCAACGCCTTCAAAATACCCTCAGGTTTTTCATTCCAAACTTCATGCTTGTTTCCTTCGGAACCAGCAGAATGGTACGATTTAGATTCTTGAATCATCACGCTACTATCCATAAATCAAACAAACTCCCATAACTCATAAATCAAACCCATTTTGAGCAGACTGTTATCCTTAATAGACAATTTGTTCCAAAAATAACACTGCAGCTAGTGCCAAATAAAATGTAGATATTTTTGTTCCGACCATTGAAAATGGGGAGGAACTTTGTATTAGGGTGTGTTTTAGGCAGGGGCGGGGATCTTTCTCCTTTTCCCCCAGCTCACATAAGCATTGATTTCTCTGTGTAACGAGTGATTTTACAAGGTTGAGTATGAAGACCATATATGTTTGTCATGGCCTAATTAGTCCGTATGCGAAGAATGTGAACAGAAAATTTACTCTAAAAAATTTGCAGGTGAGGGGAAGGAAAAAGAGCTAGGGGCGGATCTAGAATTTTCTCGAGGAGGGGAAGCGGATTTTCAAAAAAATATGAAAAAAATTTTGTCTACCTTTTTTTAGGTCGACCAAAGTGAATTTACGAGCTCTCCCAAAACACTAAAAAGACCCTGTTTTGATCAAATTTTCTGCAAAAAAAAGTTCCGTGGCCAAAAATCCGTCGCCAAAAATGGATATCTCAAGATAGTACAAAGGGGGGACCTTTTGGGTCGGCAGGGGGTACGAACCCCGCCCCGCTAAATCCGCCCCTGGTTTTAGGTTTACCACAAAATCAGGTACCACAAATAATGATCGGACTGGGTTGAGTGATATTAAAAGCTAACAATAGCTTAATTTAAAACGTAAAAACTTAGTTTTACTTGGGTAAAGTTAGTTTACATTGAGTATTTTAGAGCCTTTTTGAAATCAAAATTTTCAAAAATTCAAAAAACTGCAAATACTTTTCTTTGCTCTACAAAAATTTTTTTTCACAAAAATTGCTTTTCAATTTGCCTATTTTACTGTGGCTTTCGAATATACCTTATCCCCAGTTTGGTTTGATAAAGACCCAAGCTTTAAAGTTTCTGATGAAAATATTGCTGACGTAATATGGACTCAATCAAAAGAAATATAGATACTCGAATCACTCAAAATGAACCAATCAATTACAGCAGGGATGACCGAATGACAAAAATAATGAGACAGATCAATTCATCGATCAGGTTTATGCGACCCAACGGTCGAGTAGCATATTCATATCATACTAGTCAGGCGGAGCAAAAATGTAATTTATTTTCCGCAACGACAGTTTTTCGTCATGAAGTTGTCGTGGAGTAGCACTCTCTCTTTTAGTAAATATCTTAAGCGTGAATAAATTAATACACCTCCCAGAGGGCGGGGAACTTAATGACTGTTGGGCATTGGGCAATCAATCACAAACAGGGATATTTCCCCTAAAATGGGTGGGGTTATTTTTGGAAGGATAGGTTGACATTCAGCATTATTTTCCCATAAAAGGGGTGGGTTCATTTTTAGAGGGATAGGTTGACATTCAGGGATTTTTCCCCACAAGGGTGGGTAAATTTTAATGGGATGACATGGCGGCAGAATGACGTTCAAATAGGGTGGAGCAAAGATAACTGTTCAATCTCAATTCCCATTGGGCGATTCTAATTTAATATTCCAAATGGATTTTTGGCATCCACAAATAATTGCTATCAAAAATAGATGAGGGAAGGGACTAATTATAAGGGAATATTAAATGGGGATATTACAGCATTACCGTTACATCAGTCACTGTTCAGCTATGACAGGTTGACACCACGTGATCAAAGTCGAGGGGTGGGGCAATTAGACAAAATATGAAGGATAAATGTAGGGGGCAGGGAAGGAAACAAAAAAGAGAGACCGGACTGCAACTGCACTTCGTTTGCATATTGGAGTAAAAGTTGTTGCAGATAACCCAATTAGAGAGTAACTTGTCCTCCTTTTCAATTAAATCCCGCGGGTGTTGGACAGGAAATTAGAGGGAAATGAACAGAGATATTATTTGTGCAATATTAATGATCGCAGCAGGCAGACAAAACAACTACAACTTCAACAACAAGTTGCAAAAAGTTCGCTCAGAAAAAAAACCATGGTAATATTTGGTACAGGTTTTGCACTATTTACATACTTAACACAGATTTAGGTCACATAATCGAGTATAGTTAATTACAAATACCAAAAAAAGTACGCAGAAAAAGTTCGGACGGCGCAGTTAGGAGCAAAAGTTCTGCAAAACTACTGCAAAAACAACAATTACCCCCAATTAGAAAAGCGCTTAGAGCAACAGTGACGAATATTGGAGATTTTTCCTGCTAACTAGTTCTTCAAATCATACTAACATCTTCCATAATTGGGTTCGCTGCATGCGCTATTTTAACGGACATCAATCGATAGAATGTTTTGATTTACAATTTCAAAAATCTATTCAAAGATGCGTACTTATAATAAAGTAGTCGAGGCATGGTCCAGTAAAAAACTGCAGCCAAAAAAGACAGGATAACCTTAGTTAACTTAGGAAACAATTTTTGATGATGAAAAAAAAAGACAGTCGATGCAGATGTTGGCTTCACTTGCAACACAGGAAATATAATACCACCAACTTGGTGGTATTATATCACAAATCAGGAGAGGATTTAGGGGGAGGGGAAGGACGCTCCCTCCCTCAGGGATTCCACCCCCTCACCAATCAAAATTTCCTCCCTTTGGTATCTTTTAAGACAACTATTTTCGGCCGATCAAGCATAAAATTTTTCTAAAGGCGCAGTTGGCGCCAAAATATTCTAATATTGAAAGGGAGCGCGCGCCGAAAAAACGAATTTCCAAAAAGTGCCTGAAAAAGAATCGAATTGAATGAAATGGCAAACGTTTACGTTTTCATATTGAAGCTAAAGAAGCAATGAAATTTAGAAACATTTCAACTTTTTCATGGAGCAAATCGGTCCGCAAAAATTAATTGTTTAGAAAGCTATTCAAGAAAAACTTCAAGTAGTTTCAGACTAAATCGGTTCGCGAAAAATTTTCAGAGTAAGTAAGTCAAGCTGTGAAACATGGCTGTATTTCAACGTATTTCAAGAAAGAAATCGGATTGCGAATAGTTTAAGTTTTCCTATTCGAGCCAAATTAAATTTTTCTAAGCGAGATAATCGAGCAATGAAATTTTGAAAAATTTCGAGTTGTTTAATAGACCAAAACAGTGCGCAAGTTGTTTTACGCACGCTATTGAAACTATGAAAATTGAAATACTACAAGTTGTTTCTTGACCGAAACGTTTTGTGAAAAAGAAGTTTTTATGAATGAAATATTAAAACTATGCCTTTTTGAAAAATTTCTTGTTATTTCATAATTGGTTTGCAAATTAGTTAGCAAAAGTTCATGTTTTTCATAAACAAACCACTCAAGCTACGAAGCTTTGAAATATTTCAATTTAATTTAGAGACCAAATGGGTTCACGAAAATTCAAGCTATGAAACTTTGAAATAATCCAAGTTGTTGTTAAGACCGTGTCGTTTTGCAGAAGGTAGCAGCAAGCTAAATAAGTTATCTCATAGACCAATTCGGTTCGCAAAAGTAAAAGTTTTAAGCAAGCCATTCCAGCTATGAAATTTAGTAAGAATTTAAGTAATTTCATGGACATATTCGGCTCGCAAAAAGTTTTCCTGAGCAATTTACTGAAGCCATGAAACTTCCGGTAATTTCAATTTTCTATAGAGAATTACAATTTTTGCAAAAACATTTCTTATGGAAGCTATTCAAGCAAGGAAATTTTAAAATATTTCAAGGTTTTTCCTGTAGCATCGTTTGAGTCTGAAAATTACATAACGAAGCAAAAACATGACTAACCAAAACCTTTGTACTATTTCTTATAAAAAAAACAATTTTGAAACTTTCAAAAACTATCAAAAAACGATACCTCACACCCCTTCCACATTCGAGCCCTCGCCAAACAAAAAAGGATTCTATTTTCGCTTCCTTGACGATGAAATACAAAAAGACCAAGGCAATGTAAAATACGCCTAAACCAATTAAGCGAGAAAAAAACTAAGGAACTTATTCAAAATCAGAGCTGATAAACTTACAAATTACACAACGACTTTCATTTATAAAGAAAATTATATCAATCAGAATAAAATTTCACGTTTGAGAACAACAAATAAGCAGGAAAACGATAGTCTGACAAGTTTTCATTTCATAGATAAAGGAAAATACGAGGTCAGGATTCAACCATATAGCTTAGAATCCAAAATCACACGCTTTACCAGTAGACCAAAAAGAACTGGGACTAGAAATGTTGAAATTTTACAAAAAAGAAAGACTCACATTCTTACAGATTTGACAGCAAGTATGTTTCACGATTACAAGTCACCAGCCAAATAAAAATATGTTGAGAAAATTTAAACATAGCGAGATAGTGAAGCCGGTATTTAAATATATAATTGTCGTGAGGCGACCTTCGGTACCTCGTTATTTAACTTGTCCTTTTGCAGTCTTGCAGCAGATTTATGTTAATTTCACTAACCAAGGTCATAGTGCTAACCTCTTCAAAATACCACGCTGTGCGTGTTCACTCTTTGCTATCTACAACGTTTGCCAGATGTTCTTTATTCTTTCTCATCCTATTATAATTCAGGTTTAAATCTCTAAACTCAAGAAT